GAGCAGTGGGTCAGATATACTAGCCTAACTGCTGCTGGCCTGGTATTGACTTTGATAACCTTAGGATGTGCTGCGCAGTTCGGTGTGTTTTGTTTCCGTTAGCACTAAACAACCCGCCCACCAAGTCATCAGTAGAGCAGCTGTTTAAATCAGTTAATCAACCACGGCGGTGTTCAGGCGAAAACTTATTCACATTATGCTGTCAGGCTTACTGTCTATGTTGTAACAGACTGGATGTTCTGTTTTAGTGTTTTTGCTAGTTTTTTGTGTGGGAAATGTTTGCTTTTGCGTGTTGATTCCCCTGAACTCTATCTGCTCTTTGACCTGTTGTTTGTCGGTTGCCATGGAACGGATCCGCATAAAACCGACGCGCAGAGCGAGAAAAGGCAGAATAGAGGTTGTTGGGGCTGTTTTATCTTTATTTCTTTATCCTTTTGAATTTTGTTACTTTATTCTTAAATTTCTATTTTTTGTATTATTTACAGAGTTTATTTGTAGGTTGATAATTGTTGATTTTATTTATTTTCTGTTTTATTATTTTTCTTATTTATTTTCTAAATTTAGACAGGAAGTAATGTGGGTCAGTCCACTTTCTAAATGTGCAGGGGCCTGAAGGACCAGCAGGCATTTGGGTTTGGGGCCGATGGTTTTAACCAGAGCAAGAGAGGTAGCATGAGAACAGAGGAAAGTTTGATCTCTGTAATTGTTTGGTGAAAGAGAAAAATAAATCACTAAGAACAATCAATAAGTTTGGACATTGAACCTTCTTTTGCCTGTGTCGAGAAATATGACCCCAGTGCCTTAGTAGTGTCTTGGTGGAACTTTTATTGGATGTTTGGCTTGGCAAACAATCAGAAGTGGTTCTGTCTAGTTTGGTTCTTCACCTGTTTATCAGCTTTATTGTACGTTTATTGTGGCGCACTGCAGCCGCTGCAATTCCTAAAAACAAGCGACAAAAACTGATCTAATCCCCTGTGTTCGCAAAACGTGATATTTATAACAGTCGTCAAACTGCGGATCCTACAGCATATTTAAAATAAACGATTGACCAATATTAATAGAAATTTGCCCTTTCTTGCATCTTGACAAGACTAACAGAAACTAAACTGTTTATAGATTTGTATCATTGAGAATTTATCAAACATCAGTTTTCTAATCTTTATTTTAAGTCATATTTAATAGATATATCTAATAACAAATGATGGCGCTAATATTTTCGTGACTGACTTGTCTTTGTCCTGTATTGGGATAAAATGGTTTTGTGGACACAGTGCATATCAATTGATATGCATATCAGTAATGCATATCAATTAGCAGGAGTTTGAAAGACGTAAAAATAATTAACTATACTACATTAAGAAATTGTATTTAAGCCTCGGTGCTACATGAAGCTCATTTTGAAACAATGCGAGTTAAAAACAATATTTCGTATTGTTTTTAATACGAAATATTAAAAACATATATATATATATATATATATATATATATATTTACTGCCACCCCTGAAAAAGTCCCTGCCACCCCTTAAATATTTTTCTAGATCCACCCCTGACTTCAAATACTGTTTGACTATAAATTTGGTCAGAATATTTCGTTCCTATAGCTAATCTACATTTTTTAATATTTTAATACTTCTTTAGAAAACTGCACAGAATATCTCCTAAAAAAAGCACATGAATAACGCTGGATGCTGACCGAAGCTGCATTAGGCAACAAGCAGAACAACACCTCTTTCTGGACACTGCGTGGAAATAACTATATTTTTCTTATTTTACTTTTTATTTGCCGTAAACGTCTGAGAAATAAAACACTCAAAATGAAACTTCTACAGGTATGACGGATTTATAAGAAACGTAACATTGATGTGCGCATGCACATTACCACACGGTATGCTGGATTTACGAGGTATGACAGATAGAACACGTGACACCTGTTGTAAACATCCTATTTTTTTTGTCATAAGGACATTTACTGCTAGGTTAATTAGGCAAATGAATTAGGCAAATTACTAAACACAAGTGAATAAAGCAAACTACACTTAGGTATGCCCTTTGTCTTGAATGCTTTTTTAACATAATATATTAGATAATGTATTAGGATCCTAATACATTATCTGGAAGTATTCTGGTTAACGGGTTAAGGGCTTACGGCTCTGTGCTATTGGCTCACGGCTCAGCTCAAACCTCCATGCTAACGACTCATGGCCGACGGCTAAGCGTCAAATAAACACAACTCAGTTAAATTAAAATAGCAATGCTAAACATCTAATCATTTCCAGATCAATAAGTTAAGGTAGTTATGCTGGATTTTATGTGTGTAGATTCCAACGGTAGCTCTATTAAAACTTAAATGGCAGTAACTGCTGCACCGACATTTAAACACCGTTTCATGCTAATGTTTATTTCTAAGCATTTTTCTGAAGGAAGATTTTCACAAGTCGGTTTTATTAAAGTCATTACTCACCCATTTGATAAATTTCTGGTCTTTTTCCTTCTTCAGTCTCCTCAATTTCCTCAATTGGCCACAACCTTTCTGATTCCATTATGGCAACCATTTGTTGTCTTTCAATCTGGTCCATCTCCATATTCTTCTGTTGTTTATTTTTAATTAGGGCATCCCATGTGTCAGTCAGAGACTGTTTTATTGCAGCTTTCTTCTCCCTCTCCTGTTTGTCACCCACCTTTTGGCCAAATTCCTGCCTTGGCCTTTCTTCACGTCGCTTTGCCTCCAAAAGGGTGTTGTTGGCAGCTTCTTTTCTCAACCTTTCAAAGGCCGGAACTGATGGTAAAATGATGATTTACTAAAGCCGTCCATTGTCATCAACCACCATAAGAGCTAATAAGAGAAATAAAAATTACAATCATTTTTTTTTTACCATTAGTGAAGCATAGCTTGTTACATTGATACAATTCCTTTCATAAATCATTAATTAAGCAGAATTAAAATACTTAAACTTCAATCATCATTACCTTGTTCTCTTATTGACTGAAGCTAAAACTCAAGTAGCCTTTTATGGATTTTTCTGCCTTGCTGTTAACCGTTTCTTTCTTTGCAGTTAACCTTCTCCAGTAGCTCTGTTGCTCTGTTACTATAGATACGTGATACAGAATGTTACCAAAATAAAAGCATTGGACTTTAACGGCAGTTACAAAAAACTGTAACTGTTTTTTGTAACAGTTACAGTTACAAAAAACAGGCCTGAAGTGACCCAATTCAGATTTTTTTTTTTTTGACATAATGCGACCCATATTTGACCTTTTCATTTTCAGTCAGAACATCACAGGTCGGAGTCTTTTCGAATGCGACCCATATCCCATACATGTCCGATGCAAATGCAACTTATTGTTTATATTTAAAATGGGCAGCACATGAGTCAGTGGGAAACTGTTTAACTGCAGCTTTCTTCTCCCTCTCCTGTTTGTCACCCACCTTTTGGCCAAATTCCTGCCTTGGCCTTTCTTCACGTCGCTTTGCCTCCAAAAGGGTGTTGTTGGCAGCTTCTTTTCTCTTTATTTCCTCCAGATTGTAATCTACAGTCTTCTTACATTCCTCTTGAGATGGGACCTTTTCAGGAAGCTTAATCTAACTCTTGTGTTGTACAAACACTGATTTAGGTTGAAAGCCTTCCTTTGGATCACCAACACTCTGATATATTTTGCACTGTTATGATTTGGTCCGCCATGTTTTGTTCAGTCTTGTCCTGTGTGTTGAGTTACTGTCATGACTCTATGTTTTTGGGTTTGCTTTTCATCTTATTTTGCATCGTTTTAGTTTAGCCCTTCATGGTATTTTTAGTTGTATTATTTTGATGTAATTTGTTGGGTTAGATTGGTCTTGTTCTTGCCTTCCTCTTTTCAGCCCCCTGTAATATTTCTAGCTATATTTATTTCTTATTTCATCATCCTAGTTTCAGTTATTCTTAGTAGTCTGAGTTTATGTCTTTCTTTATTTGATTCTAGCCAAGTTGTTTCTTTAGTCCTTTTAGCCATTACTTATTTCAGCTCCCTCATACTACAGCCATGGCCAAAAGTTCTGAGAATGACACAAATATTATATTTTCACATGATCTGCTGCCCTCCGGTTTTCATGTGTATGTCAGATGTTTTCATCACATACAGAAAACAATTGCAATCATATTATGAGTCTTAATATGAATGAGTGGCTGCTTGCAGCTGTTGCCTTGCAGCAAGAAGGTTCTGGGTTCAATTCCCGGCCCCGGTCTTTCT